TTTTTTTTTTATCTTTTTGTACAAAAGTAGTTCAAGTTGTTATAATTTTTTTTCGATCAAATCAACTAAATAATCCAAAGACAAACAAAGATAAAATAATTTTGTCTCACTTACATTTTTTTATTCTATCAAATCAACTATATAATCTGAAGAAATAATTATATCTTTGACTCACAACATTAATAACAATTATTATGTTTGAAATGCATTTGGTGATATTATGATAATAATGTCTAACAATGGCCTTGTTTGGCAATTAGCTGTTAGCGGTTAGCTGTTAGCTGATTATATCAGCTGTTTTGACCAACGGATTGTATTGGCTGTTTTGACTGGCGGATTACATTAGCGGATTGTGCTGAAGTGTTTGGTAAAATTAGCTGATTGATGTTATTAAGTAAAATAAAATAACTAATGTAAGTAAATGTATAATTACTCAAATAATAAAAATAATAAGAATAATATATTTATATATAAAGAATTAAATTTATTTTAAAATAATGACATACATAACTTATTTTGTTATATTGAAAAATAAGAAATTTCACATAAGAAAAGAATTTCAAAAATAATTATTCCATCATTACATATTAAAGGAAACTAATTCTTAAATAAATTAATAAAATGCAGTGTTTTGTGACCCGGACCGGCCTGGCGGGTCGACCCGGGACCCGGTCGACTCGGAGCCGGAACCGGTCCGGGTGGGTTAATTAGACCGGGCAACAACGGACCCGGTCAAACCCGGTCGATCCGGCCTTGACCCGGTCGACCCGGGACATTGACCCGGCTGGGTCAACCCGGTTGACCCGGTCTATATTTTTTTATTTTTTTTTTGTTTTTTAATTTTCTTTTTCTTTTTAAAAAATAAAATTATGTATATATATTTATATGATAAATATATACATATTATTACCACTTTAATCTACAAATTTTACATACAAAATATTTAAATTTGTTATTTTTATGTATATTTATATATCACAAAATACTCTATATATAATTTTATAAATTTTAAAATTAATTATCCGGTTCAGCAATTGACCCGGTGACCCAGCGGTTGAACCGGTGACCCGAAGACCTGCCCGGGTCGTTTACCGGGCCGGGTTTAAAAACTATGATAAAATGAAATAAAAAAAAAAGTAATTGCATTGTGGACTGTGTCACTGATAATCATAATTGCAGTATACATAATGCCCCCAAAATGTCCACTTTTCACATAATTAAATAAAAAACTTAAAAGTAACGATCAAAAA